TGGACCTCTTCTAATATTTTGATTAGTTATGTCTCTGTACTCTTTTAGAGTACCAGCCTCCTCTATGATGCCATCTTTATTTTGTATTCCTTTCTTCTTCCTAGAAATTTTATCTTTAGAACCAATTGGTCTACCACATTTTAGACGTGGCTTAGATTCATTTACACTTTCTAATTGTTCTACTGGAACATCAATTCTAATAGGAACATTTTTAGCTGGAATATGAGATTTGATAATTCTTTTAAGGTTAGTAAATGCATCTGGCAATTAATTTACAATATTTTACAGATGAATTATTCTTTTAATTTCAAGTTTACATTACTTTGTATGAGGATCTAGATGAGATAATGATAATTCATTCCAGGTAATTTCTTTCTCCAGCTATTTATTCTCCCCCTAATGTTGGGAAAATTGTTTTATCAAAACAGCAATCATCAAAATGTGCAGTGAATAAATCTCCAGCTAGTGGTTCTAGATACTTAATTATAGAAGGAGATTCAAAACTAACATATATTCCCAACCTTCTTTAAGGTCCCATTTTTGTGTGTTGTGGTGGAGCAATAGGAACAAACACTGTAGATCCAAAAATTTTAAGATGGGAAATATTTGGCTCCTAACCAAAAGCCAATTGTAATGGGAAACATTTATGATAACTTGTTGGCCTGATGCACAGAACTGCTACTGCATGTAAAATCGCATGTCCCCATGCGAAAATAGAAAGTTTTGTCTTCATAAGCATTAGTCTAGCCATTAATTGGAGGCATTTAATGAATGATTCTGCTAAACCATTTTGAGTGTGGACATGAGCAACAGATTTTTCAACTGTCATTCTAGTTGATATGCAGTATTCATCAAAAATTTGCAATGAAAATTCACTTGCATTATCAAGACGAATTGTCTTAATTGCATAATCTAGAAACTATGTTCTTAATCAAATTATATGGGCAAGTAATCTAGCAAATGCTAAATTACGTGTTCATAACAAACACACATGTGACCATCTTGTAGATGCATATATTAAAATCATAAAATATTTGAATGATCCATATGGTGGATGGATAGATCCACATATATCCCTTTGGATAAATTCAAGAAAAGTAGGAGATTCAATTCTCACTTTCACAATTGAAGGTCTTTTAATTAATTTTCTTTGAGAACAAGTAGCAGATGAAAAATTCTTAAATTGAAGAATCTTTTAGTTCTTCAATGGATGTCTATGTGAATTTTCAATAATTCTTCACATCATCGTTGAACCAGGATGGCTTAACTGGTCATGCCAAATGATAAATGCATCTTGACTAGTAAACTTCTTGTTGACTATTGCATTTATTTCAACTATATTAATAGCTGTGTTGTATAAACCAGAAGATAACGTGAATAATTTCTCTAGGACATATTTTTTTCTAGATCTAAAATCTGTAATATGTAGATATTCAATATCTTTCTCATCTATAGTCTCAATATGATACCTATTTCAGCAGATATCTTTAAAGCTTAATAAATTTTTTTGAGACTTAAATGAATATAATGCGTCATCTATAATAATTTTTATTCCTTTGGGTAATATTATAATTACTCTTCTAGAGCCATCGATTAATTTAGTATTACCCGCTATGGTATTAACGCTTCCATCTCTTATTGTTAAACAAGTAAAATATTTTTTATTTTTAAGTATAGTGTGCATTGTAGCACTATCCACGAGACATATATCTTCATTCTTGTGTCCAGTGAAAGAAAAGGAAATATCCATATTCTTCAACAAAAGAAAGAGAATGTATTAAAATAAATACTTAATAAAATGAAATTTATTCATAGCAATAAAGCTTTTATTACAAAAAAAAAAACAAGAAAGCTAAATGAAACATAGCCTAAATTACAAGAAAACAAGAAACATAAATGAAACATAATCTAAATTATTCTCATTTATTTTTCAACCAAACTTGTCTAATCCTGATTTTCAAAGAAATCAGCCACCTCTAAGTATGCCATAGCATCAAGGCCATTAATATCATCCAACTCATTGATATCATCATTTTTGTATGCAAAATGTGCCTCAACATCATCATTTTGAAAAGTAAAATTTGATTCCACATTACTTGAATTTCTTTTGATGGAGACTTGATAAAGCTTTGCTAGATGCTCAAGCGTACAATAGGTACGTGACCAATGCCCCTTCATAACACACCGATAACACTAATTTTCAATAGCTTTTGAAGGACCGCTCTTATCTCTTTTTTTCCTTCATTATTTTTCTTCTTTTGGTAGGCATTAGGATTATAACTAGTATAACCACCACCATTATAATGGTAATTAGTATGTCCCCTACCACGACCACTTTCGCGACTGCGGCCGTGGCTACGACCACAGTAATTACTATGTATAGTCACACTCGCTTCAAGGAATGGAGTTGATTCAGTGGGACGGATTTCATAATTTTTCATCAGTAGCTCATTATTTTGTTCAACTACAAGAAGACAAAAAATTAATTCAGAATACTTTTTAAAACCCTTTTCACGATATTGTTGTTACAAGAGTACATTTGAAGCGTGAAAAGTTAAAAATATCTTCTCTAATAAGTCCTTATCATTGATTTTCTCACCGCATAATTTCAATTGAGAACTTATTTTAAAAATTGCCGAATTATATTCACTTATAATTTTAAAATCTTGAAATCTCAAATGCATCCATTCATATTGGGCTTTAGGTAAAATTATCATTTTTTAGTGGTCATATCTTTCTTTTAGGTTAATCCACAATTCTAGTGGATCTTTTATTGTAAGGTACTCAGCTTTTAACCCTTCATGAAGATGATGACCAAGGAATATCATTGCCTTGGCTTTATCTTAACTACTTGCTTGATTTTTAGGTAAAATTGCATTTCCTAAACCTTTAGCGTCTAGGTAAATTTCAGTATCTAAAACCCATGATAGATAATTCTTTCTCATAATATTAAGAGTCGTAAATTCAAGTTTGGTAAGATTTGTCATGATTCAAACTAAAATAATAATAACAATAACAATTAGAATTATACAAAATTAATAAATAAAGCATAATAAATAAATATTGTAGTAAAAAAAAATATTTCACACACACATGCTAAAATATAATTTATAATAAAACACAATAGAAAGATGCACAATATAAAGAAACACAAATATAAATAATCAAACTTACAAAACAAACAAAGCACAATAAAGATAAAGAAATGCAGTAAAGTAAATAAATTGATGGATAAAATAAATAATTTATATGATAAAACAAATTATATTAACAACATAAATTGATCAATACGCACACATAAACAAATACAAAATGTATAATATGTATATATAGTATTAATGTAATGGAAGACCAAAATAATAATAAAAATAATAAATAAATAATAAAGAAATGAATAATAATAATAATTACAACAACAATAATAATCATGATGATGACATCAAATACATAAATGTAAAGAAAGAAAAATAAGTATATCAATCTTCATAAAAATATATAACATCAAATAATAAAAATAAAGTAATGGATGTCAAATGAGACTTGATTAAATTAAATCACTAATCACATGATTATTTTCAAATGAATAAAATGAAGAAATTTAAAATTGCTTCATAACTAAGAAAATGAAATGATAGGAAAATAAAATGATAAAATATGAGAACAACATAACCATGAATGTTAATAAAGCATAATATAAAATATAGTTATATATATAATATAAGAACACATTAATCTAACTAAAAACTCATACCTTATTTTCAAAGCCAATTCGTGTTGATAATGTGTTGTAAAATATAGTTAATATGAAGAGTAGAGAAGGACAAGACAATACAAAAAATGAAAAGAAAATAATAGAGGAGAATTCTTATTCATTAGTATCCTCATACTTTGAATATGACCTCTATTTATAGGTCCCAACCATTCAAGTCCTACTTTAATATTACAAAGATATAATGAAGTATATAATGGTGCATTATGTAACCTTTGAAGGTTATAAGCTATTACGACTAAGAAATTCTTTTTATGTCATTTATGAGGACATTAAGAATAAAGGAATTTTAAGGGCTGAGTTATGGACATTCATAATATAATATTTATAATATATTTAATTTTGTGTGGAATCCACACTAAATGATCCAAGTTTCATCTGATATGCTTTTTTTTTTTTTTTGCTCATGTGACAAGATTTTATGCTATGCTTCGCTCATCAGAAACAGAAGGGACAAGAAAAAATATGAGGAGAGGAAATAAAAAAAAAAAAAAAAGTGAAGTGAAGGGATGTTTTACGGTCTTTATACTTGGCTAAGTAAAAGAAAATGAGAAGTGAAAAAATTATTAATTTTATAAAGACAACAATAACTTTATTATTTGTAAAAAAAATTATATACAATAAAATTTAAAATTTTAACATATTATTTATATAATTTTTATTAATATTATTAAATAAAAATATAATTATAAATTATTTTATCAGATACTAGCAAAAAAAATTATTTTGTTCAATTTTAAATTTTACTTCTTAAATTATTAAATATACAATAATCTAAATTTTAAAGTGGAGAGAAAATTAAGATAAAAAAGAGGGAAGCAAGCAGGAAATGAAAAGATTCATATGTAAATTTAAAAATTGAATTTTCTCCTCAAAATATTTACTGAAGAGAAAAGTTAGAGGTAAAAATAATATATAAATCTCACATGTTATTTTTCTCCAAATTTCTCCCTCCTCTCAATTTTTCTTTCCTTAAGCAACTAAAAGAAAATGCCATTTTCTTCTCTCTCTGTTTTTTTTTTCAGTTATTTTTCTCTCATGCCAAGCACCATATTAAGGTCACTTGAAAAAGACAAATTCAACCTTCTAACTTTTTTCTTGGTTTTTTTTTTTTAAGGGGAACAATATCATTATCATTAAGAAAGGAAGAAAGTGAGTGCACAAGATACAAAAGAGTAGAAAAAGAAAACAGAAAGATTAAATGAACACAACAGTGCCCAGTGAAAAAGAAAAAATTTAAAACCATTTCTCAATTTGTGCCTATCATCCTTGCGCAGAAGCGATGCTAATCTTTTCTGTATCTTTAATTTTATCGGATGTCCCAAAGGGTCTCTTTAACTTTTTCTTGGTGAAAAGCCTTCTAACTTTTTCATGCTTTCCGCCTCACTTCATCACCATCCATTACATCATCATCATAATCTCACCTCATCATCTTAAATTCCTTGCCAGCGACCCTACTCTTCTTCCTGATCCATTGCCCTCCGTTGTCCTTCCTCTTCCTTCCATGGCAACACTCTAGCCGTGGTTCGATGGCGATGGAAGCTAAGGAGGCTCTGAAACCTCCATTCACAGCACAAATGTTTCTTCTCCTTCATAACCCATACTTGAAAAAAAAAAAAAACTCCTTTTTCTTTTCCTAATTCCAGAAATCAATCTTTGACAGTGAAGCAAATATGGGATTTGGATTAAAAAATAATTCATATAAAGAATGAAGAAGCCTTCATGACATGACACGTACGGAGAAGGCAGATAAATCAATCTCCGATGGTGAAGGCAGATACGTACAGAGAAGGCATGTTGGATGGTGATCGCAACCATGATACGTGAAGACTGAAGAATGACGAAGCCTTCATGACATGACACGTTGCCAAGAAAAAGTCAAGCAACAGCGCACCACTTAACCAAATCTAGCATGCACCACTTAACGGTCAACATTATTCAACTTAACATGAGGGACATAATTGCTACGTTTTTAATTTAATGATTAAGGTTGACATTAGCCAAAACTGGAATTTAAAATTTCAGATATTTCTAAACAAATAGTTGGAAGATAAAAATACCCTTTAACTCTAAATTATATTACTTATATATGCATTATATTTGAGAAATTGTATGTTTTTTAGCCTAATCACACTACAAAAAACAGTTGATTAGCGATGGAAAATTTCATCGCTAATCAGTAAAAATTGCGTTAATAAGTGATGAAAATTTTTTGTCATTAAATAAGGATAAAGTTATTTTGACTCTGTGATGGAATACATTTCGTTGCTATTCTGTCACTAATTTTTTAATGAATTTATTTTGTCACTAATTCTATCATAAATTTATTAGGTGAATCAAAATGTCATTGCCACGTAACCCGATGGATTAATGCCACCTCACCACCACCTAGTTACTTATTGAACCAATGCCACCTCATTGCCATGTCACTATCACGCCTTAGTCACCCAATAGACCAGTGCCACCTCACTGCCACATCACTGCCACGTCATTTGTTATTACCATGTGAAATATTATTATCTTCAATTGTGTCTTGGCTAGGTTCAAACTTGCAACCTCATACTCCCATGTACTTTTGCGTTTACCTTGTTCCTAGTTGAGTTGAAAGGAATCTTCAGTCTTAATTAATAAATTAAATATATAATACTTAATCACACACACATATATTAATAAATATATTATTTAAATTATTATTAAATATTGTATTTAAATTTACTTATTTTTTAACATTATATTTATTTATTAATATGAAAAATTAATTTATATATAATAATTATTTCTATTATAGTTTATCTAAAAAATTAGTTTTCATAATAAATTTAATAGTAAATTGAAAAATATTTTATTATCATTATATATTATATTATAATTTGTATCTATATAATATATAATATTTTAAAATTTTATTTTATAATTATTTTATTTTATTTTTATTTTTAAATAAGAATAATTAAGTATACAATTTAAATTATTATTTGTAATATACAAATAATTTAAAATAATAAGTTATTTTAAATTATAACTTTTAAATTATTTATTTATAGCATGATAATAAATTATTAAAGAAATTATATATAAATATCTATTATAAATGATAAAATTAAATTAAAAATAATTCTTGATGAAATTAGCAACGGAATTATGATAGAAAGCTTTGTGATAGAATTTTTCGTTGCAAATTTTATTGCTAAATCAAAATAAAATATTCTAACCATTGGTGACAGAAATTTTCATCATTAAATTATTTTTGATGGATTAGCGATGAAATAATAATAAAATTTTAACGACAAAACATTACATTGCTAAATTTCATTGCTAAATTAGTGATAGAATTAGCAATGAAAATTTATTCCATTGCTAATCCGTTGTTTTTTGTAGTGTCATTAACAAGTAAAAAAAAATTTAAGAATTAAGTGCAACATTTTAATTAATAATTATTGTCATCATGCTGTCTTGTTCACAAATGCCATCGCACCACAACAACAGCTTAAATTTTTTGTATTTGACGGCTCTCTAGTGCACTACTAAAAAAAATAGCTATGTCGTCGCCAAAGGTCTACTTTCGGTGGCAACAATTAGAAGTCACCGGTAAAAGTAAACCTTTGGCGGTGATAATGTATCGCCGTTAAAAGTTGCTATCAAAAGTCAATTTTTAGCAGTGACATTTAATTGTTGTTGTTAAAAATTACTTTTAATGGTGACAGTTTGTCGCCGCCAAAAGTATTTTTATAAAAAATAATTAAAAAATTAAAAATAATTTTTGTAATTACTTTTAGAGGAAAAAGTATTTTTATAAAAAATTAAGTAAAAATTAAAAATAATTTTTGTAATTATTTTTAGTGGCGACAAACTTTCACCACCAAAAGTATTTTCATAAAAAAATGATTAAAAAATTAAAAAAAATTTTGTAATTACTTGTAGCAACGACAAACCTTCGCTTCCAAAAGTATTTTAATAAAAAAATAATTAAAAAATAAAAATAATTTATGTGATTACTTTTTAGTAGTGACAAATTGTCCCCACCAAAATTATTTTTATGGAAAATAATTAAAAAATTTTAAAAAATTTATGTAATTGCTTTTAGCAGCAATATTTTATTATCGCCAAAAGCATTTTCATAAAAAATTAATTAAAAAATGAAAAATAAATTTTTCAATTACTTTTTTAAATTTTTTAATTATTTTATAAATTATTTTATAATTCATAAAAAATAAAAAAATTTAAAAATATTTTGTAAATATTTTTAGTGGCAAAATTTGTTGCCACTAAAGGTATTTATATATAGAATGAGAAATAAATAACATTGAAATGTTAAAGTTATATATAAATATTAGAATGTTAAAGTAATATAGATGTTGTAAGATGCAAATAGTATTATAGATTACTTGACACATTACGCACTTGATACTTGGCTTGGTATACAAATGGTATCCACTTCATTTGTTGAGCTTTACTTTTCACTACCACATGATTATTTAAATAAGATGCTCCATATTTGATGGTTATTTAAAATAAGTAATAAATAAAATAGGTTGAGAATACTTAACGGTTTTTTAAATTATAGATAAAATTATGTATAAACTTATTAAAGTTTGTTTATTTTAAATTGTAAAGTTGTTAGAAAGTATTTCCTATTAAATTTAGATTGACTCGGTTAAAGAGACTTGATGACTCTCTATATTTTTATATATTTTGAAGAGTTTTATTAATCTTTTGAAGAGTCATCTAGTTATTTTTTGTTTATTTATCATGTATTTAGTGTTATTTTGGTGTTAGTCAGCTTGTCTTATAAATATGGTGCTTTAATTTTATTTTAGAATATTTTTTTTGTTAATTTGAGTCATTTTAAATTTTAGAAGACTCTACAAGAGCTTGGAAGATGTGAAGAGGCAAAATATAATAAATTTAATGAGAAAATTAAATTGTTATGATCACCTACTACAATAGCTGCCACAGCGGGTCAGTATTATAAGACAAATTCTGAACTAAAAATAATAGCGAGCACTACAGCAGGTTTCGTACTAGAAACGCACAGCATCAGTTTTTTTATCTGATAAAAGAGGGAAACTAGGGTTTTTTAAGGGAGGCTTCATTTTTTACATTCTCTAAAGGTCCAGAGGCGATTTTGGAGAGCTTGAGGTGATTTTAGAGCTTGGAAGTAAAATAACTCATTACCATTCACATTTCTATTGAGTTTTTCTTTACTTTTCTCCTTTTTTTCTCCTATATATCTGATTTGGTCCCATTATTCTACTATTTTGAGATTATATTTAGCTATGTGTGGCTGAACCTTAACGCTCTAGAGTCCTATGAACTCATTTGCTCCAGTTGTATCTTGATTTACTGATTACTTTGTGATTAATGGATGTCTTATGTTTTAATTTTAGTTTTTATTTGTATTGCTTGATGATTAGCGACCATTAAGTGATAATTTGGAGGAATGGAATGAACTTGGAAGAGGAATTTCTATTTGAACCATTGGAATTAAATGCTTAGGATTAACCGTGGTTAATTTGCTTTTAAGACAGGAATGTACTTAAAGGACCTAAGTGGTTAGAAGAGATTTAAACTTAATGTTCTTAGTCTAATTTTGGCATGGAATTGTTGGATTAGAATTAAGTGGGATTTTGGATAATCGAAAGATATTCAAGATTAATTATAGTGTCCCAACCCTTAAAACTGAAATTAAAATCAATTTAATTGATAAGTTAAGTGTAATGGAGTAAATGAGGGGTTGGAACTCTAGGGTGCTTTTCTAATTTTTTCTTGACTTTAGAGTACTTTAAAATCTTAGTTTCCTACTTTACTTGTTATTTTATTTTTAAATTGAATCATTCACCACTTTAATTTTCTTGCTTAATGTGAATGAAATTGGGAGTTTAATGCCAATTTGCCAATTTAATTAATTCTCTGTGGGATCGACCTTAATGCATTACTATATTTCATATTGATCCGTCCACTTGTAGTGTCCATTTAGTTTTTGTGTGCATCAAGACTTTAATGAAAGTCTAAACTAATTTAGATCGAGTCAAGACAAGATATCTTTTATTTTGATTATAAAATATTCACTTAGATTTTTAACTTAGAGTTTTTTGTGTTTAGCATCTACTTTGAGTTTATCACATGTTCACCTATTTCCTATCTAAAAGATAACAAAAAATAATTGTCCAAAATGACTGTTAACAAAATTTATATGATAAAAATAATTTTTTTATTAAAATATTTTTAAGATAATTGAAAAGTTATAGATAAAATTTATTTTTAATAAAAGAAGGGGAAGCATTTAACTTGGGAGAAGATAAAAGTTTAATAATTTATTTATTAATTTTTG